AGAGGTAAAACCTAAAAATTTGGTATGAGAATGAGTATGAGGTTGGAAAGTAAGTTTGACATATGAAGATGGTTTTGAAAATGTGTACTAAGTGTGAAAACCGTACTAAATTTGGAACAGTTTGGATTAAGGTGAACGTCTGAAGCTGGAATTTTGAAATTTTTCTGTTGGTGTCCTTTTGGTGGTAGGTTTGTGACAGTGAGGTGGTTTTGGAAATATGTGCTAAATAGTACTATAATATGTGTACTTTATATGTATGAAAAGTACTAAATGGTAACATATTTGGCATTGGGTGAAGGGATAGAGGTAAAATTCTAAAATTTGATTTAGCGTTCCATATTTGTATGAAAAATACAAGAATAGGAAAAGTACAATGGTACAGGAATCCTTAAATTCGATATTGAGGTCTCTGTTGGTGTCTGGGATAGCGATATAGATGGGGTTTTGGAAATAGGTACTATAACTGTATGAAAAGTACTAAGTGGTACTAAACTGGATATGGATATGATATGGATGTCATTGTTTGGGGCCTGTAATTGACAGAAGTAACTGGAACGTGGTAAAAAACACAAAATGTGCCGTTGGGTGTTGGGAAGTGGATGGAATTCGGGAATTTGGTATCGCGGTCACTGTTGGTGTAGGAGGGGAGAAGGAGGTGGTTTCAGTAATGCGTACTGTAATTGTACGAAAAGTACTAAATAGTGCTAAATTTGGTTGTGCCTGTGGTTGAGAGAAGGGGATTGCTTTGAAAATGTGTACTTTAACTGTACGAAAAAACTTAATACAGGGATGGAATCCGGGAATTTGGTATCGAGGTCACTGTTGATGTATAGGATGGTGAGAGAAGGAGGTGGTTTTGGACATGTGTAGTATAACTACAGAAAGAATGTTAATAAATTTGGGATTGGGTCTTAGGATAGAGTTGAAGTTTTGAAATTTGATATTGAGGCCAATGTTAGTGTATAGTTTTGAGCGCAGAAGGTGGATTTGGAAATGCGTACTATGATTTTTCGAAAAATACTACATATGAGAATGAATAGAGCTCGAACCCTGAAATTTAATATTGAGGTCACTCCTGGTTTCCGGCTTCAACAGCTCATATACGTTTCGTGTTTTGTTTCACTGTCAATTTTGGCATTAAATTTTGTTATTGCCGAATATGCAAGAACATGACTTGCACGATATGTGGTTTCAAAACGACAGGCTACACAATACGCGTAACAAGAGACTCATTTAAAGGCGAGTTCAGTGATCATTTTTGGTCTGTCCCTGAACAGCAAGAATGTAAAAGTGTTTACTACGACTTTCGATTTATGATATCGGAAAAAATTCAAAACTAGTAGATTCTTGCAGATTCTAGAACAGAGCCTTCATTTCAATTTCGGTATCGGTCAATTTGCCGCCTATATCGTGCGATTGAACGCCTTTAGACTATTTTTGTGGGGCTATGTTAAAGGTCATTTCTAATCAGAAGATTCTACGTATTGGAAGACAGCTGATATAAGCGGATAGACCATCTCGGTCAACATTTGCATTAAATAATCTTCAAACATTAAATTATATGGTTCGTACTATCAATTCAATTCAATTAACTATTTTATGTAGTTTTCATGTATTTTATGTGTTTCTTCTATAGCTCGTAACAAATCAACTTTTGAGATAAGGCGATATTTTTGATGTTCGATTTTGGTACAAAATTCTTATTGAGCGATCGGAAAGATACTTTGGTATGAGGTGGGCTCTTGGGGGATATAAGGCGGGGTGTTTGAAAATTTCTTCTTTATGCTACGGTTAAGAGCAAGAAGTGAAGTGATATCATGCACTCTATAGCAATGTTAGTTGGTATAAACTATAAACTATGTTATATGAATCCGTCAAATTTTGTTAAAATAGATTTATAATAGGACTAGCTGGCCCGGTCCGCGTTGCCGGCCCGTACTTTTAGTCTTTAAAGCATAATAAATCACAGATCTGGCTTATGTAGGCGGCACAATTTTGATTATAAGTAATGACTTGATTATGAGTAATGACTCCATGACTAAATATAAATTAATATTTATGGCAAAAATTATAATTACCGTCGGTTTTATATATTTTGAATAGCCTGATCTTATTTTTCAGCTATAGCCTTTAATTTGAGTGTTAAATACTTATATGATAAAGAAAAATCTATAATAGCCCCATGTGAAAATTCAGCTCATTTTTTGGTATTGTAAAAAGCATTCAAATGAGCTATAAATTAAAATTTGTATTTCCAACGTTTAAATAAAGTTCCAATAAAGTTACTTTATAATTTCGTATTTTTTCATGTTTCTGCCACAATTTCCGACTGAATGGCTCCCAGATTGACATTTCGGAGCTTATTTCACATCCCAAATCAACGTTCCCAATCAATATTCTCTTGGGGGTACAAATCAATAGAATGCCAAATTTTCTTTTCTGACCACACATTGGTTGGGAAACTGGACTTGGGGGTATACTAATGTGGGGACTATACTTAAATAAATGCCTATGTGGATAATTATCTGTAAGATGATTTTCTACCCCAGGTAGCCTCAAGACTAAGATGCGACCTTTTACGAGAAATAAAAATTTTGTAAGAAGACGTTTTCTTCCCCCTTAGAAACAAAGATGTCAAATAAGGGCCAAAAAATGAAAAAAGTGGCCAAGACCCCGAAAATACCTTAAATCATATGATGGTGATACCAAAACGTGATCATTTTTTGCAAAGATGGTTTCTTCTTAAATTATGAACATAAGCCAAAATTAGTACGAAAAATATGGTTAAAATGTAGAATATACTTGAAATCGGGTTGTTCCGTAATCGGGGGTTATGACCCATATCATGACCTGCCAAAGCGATTAAAGGTATCTTGAATGTTTAGGAAGAATTTCTATTTTGCGTCCTTTATAGTCGGTATTTGACTGATTGTCATATGGCCGGCACTTGAGTTATGGTGGCCAACCAAAGGTGCACACGATCCTTTGGTTTTCTAATCGAAGAAAACCAAATTCGACAGTTCACCACTTTCGGCCAAGCGAAGCAACTCTTTAGCTCTTTTAAGCCTATTTTATTTCTGTTGTTGTGTTAGATCTTGCCCTTTTTGGAATTCCAATGGCTTTACCTCGAGCGCATTTTTCAATATATGCTGAATGGAATATTGCGATATGTTCAAATCACGAGCCATTTTTTGGCCACTGCGACGCGGGTCAAGTCGCTTCTTTACTTTTCGAGACATTTCTGCTGATGTTGCTGTTTTCTTCCGTACACTTCCTTGACGTCGGGCTACGCTACCAGTATCACGGTAACGAGCGTTGGTACGAGACACAAAAGATTTATTAACATTTAAATGCTAGAGTGCTCTAACGATAGCCACTTGTGGTTTTCCAGCCAAATATAAAGAAATCACACTATCACGCGATCATTCCATCACAAATAACTTTTTTCCTGGAAAATTCTCACCAAAATGCGTTTTGTACGCTTGTACACAACATAATGAGCTGCCACTGGAATAATTTTAACAGCTGTCGGACGAATGGCTTTGAAATGACAGAAGTCTGAATTTGGTTGTAGTTTTTTCATCTCACCCTGTATTGGCGGTTAAATGGACATTTTCGTAATTTTTAACGATAACCATACAAATTTTTGCCTAGCCCTAAACCCATTCAAAATTGCGGGTCGACTGTCATTTCATTGGTCCATTTCAATCCCCAAATATTTTGGAGATCATTTTTAAAAATTTAACCCCACCTCTATGCAAAATTTCTATAGCATTTTGGACCAATAGTTCGAGGTGTCACATGATTGTTGGCCCAAATAAACTTATAATACCACCAACACATAGAGTTGTAGCGTATCAATACAAGAAAAAAAATTTAATGTTATCTTCTTTTATTTGAAAAATTGTTTCTTCTTTGTATAAAAAATATGTTATATATAATATCGTAGTTTTTTTATAAATACTTTTTTATTCTTAAACAATAAATGACTTAGATTTGTTTGGGTTTAAAATTTTTAAAATTCATTATCTTATCACTAAATGTTTAAGTTTTTAATTATTTACAAGTTTCTTGTTTTTAAATAAATAAATAAATATGGAATGTTTTACAAAAATATTTTAGCAAGAAATATATATATAAAAATATTTTCAATTTTTGTTTTCTTATTTTAAATGTTTAACTATCACAAATTGTGGGGGTTTGTTTTTTTAATACATTTTCTTTGGTCTTTGTTGTGGGGTTTTCTTTGTTTATTTTAAGTGCCGAGTGTTAATAAATGTATGAGGTTGAATTTTGTACTTAGATTATTTCTGGGCACTTCAAAGCTATCATTGCCGTTGATAAATTTTATTTTATGGGTCATGATCTTTTAAAACTTTTACTGTAGACATGTCCATTTCTAATTTAATTATAGGATTGCTTGGAGAACTTGAAAAATTTTCTGATTTTATTCGGATTGGATTGTTTTAGGATTAGGATTGTTTCTTTTTTCAAAAACTCAGTAGTTCAAATTTCATTCATCGTGGCATAAATTATTCTATTTATTTTAACGCTTCTTGGGAGCTTTTGAACTTGTATTCGTATTTTTCTCAAGTTTATGTTAAGAGTTCACAGAAAATTTTTCAAATATAGTTTTTAAATATTTTTGAATAAAAAAAATATGTTTTTTTGTAGTCCTGTAATAAACACTTTTGGTCCTTCGATCTATTGATCGGGTTGAAAAGCTTTAAATCCGCACTTCTTGAATCGCAAGAGAGAGCTTTGAAACAAGTTTAGATACGTCTTTTGGGGTTTTAAGTTTTTTTGATAGTAGAAGAGCTTTTGTAGTTAGATAGATGTAGTTGTAGTTAGATATTTTCTTCCCTTTGTCCTCGATGTATTTATACAGCTTTTGGTCCTTCAAGGTGTTGCATAAATTTATAAAGCTTTCTTGGAAATAAAATTGTTCTTTCGTTGTTTCTAAGGAAACTGCTTCCCCTCTCTTAATTTATCTCTCTCTCTTTCTCTCTTAGGCCTCCCAATGTAGTTTTTTTCTCTCGGTATTTCGGTTTCCTGTATGCTGTTTCTTCTTATAGTGATTGATTTGTCAGACAATGATATGTCAAATCCGGGAATTTTTAGACCATTCCCTTTGACGTCATTCCATTTCTCTCACACTCTCTTTCCCTAGTAAGCCATTTCGGCACCCCATGGCCGATAGGGTTTTGAACCATTGGCTGTGACATAAACACCAGTCTGATGATTATATTCCTGGGCCACACTGACCGGATATTGGGGTGGCATGGCGGTATAACCCAATGCTGAGGCCGGAACGGCTGAGGGCACCTGACGATGCCCTGGATGGACATGGGCATTTGTTAATTCAATATATGTGGCACCTTGATGATCCTGATGAGCGGCAGCACTGTGATCATGGGAGTAGTGATGATGAGCGGTGGTTTGTTGTTGTTGTTGGGGTTGAGATTGTTGTGTTTGCTGGAGATGTGTTTCATGTGAGGTGGGTGTGATTTGGGGATGTGCTGCCACACTTTGTTGTTGTTGCTGCTGTTGAGTTTGCGATTGTTGTTGTGCTTGTTGCTGGCTCTGTGACTGTTGTTGCTGTTGCAGAGGTGAGGTCACTTGTCTTGATGTGTGATTTATCAAACCATGGCCATCTTGGGCGGAACCCACCGAATTGGAACGTACATTGTGTTGTTGCTGTTGTTGTTGCGAATGCATGGCATTGTTGGGTGATGAACTCAAGCTGGGATACTGATGCAGGGCCGAGGGTAAATTGGGCACATATGAGGAATTACTATGACTGGAGGTGTGAACTGTTGCAGACGAACTGCTTGTGGCCGAGGTATAAGCCTGATATGGAGCCACTCCACAGTTGGGTTGATATGACGAGGCAGCGGCGGCAGCTGCGGCACTGGGATGTACCGTCCATGGTGTGGCTCCCGGCGTGGCGGTGCAATTTTTCAACGACATTTCCCGTTGCTGAACAAAATATTGCAGGTGGGACATCAAACGCAGGCGTAGGGGATCCTGAATATCCATACCCTCGATGGTAACCAAATAACGAGCCACTTCGGCGGCACATTCACGAAAGCCAATAATGTGATAGTCCATGGCAAATCTTTGAGGATCATAGCCCAAGGCATCGGTTCCTGGAGAGCAAAAAGGAGATTGAAATGGGAAAATTTAATAACAAGTTCAACAATTATGTAAATCTGTTTAATGATGAGATTAAAGGAAATCAACATTCCCACGAACCAAAACCACCACCACCACCCCTTTTACCCTTATAATTAATTACCACACACATACAAACACAGAGAAATCTAATAGGATTTTTATGTCCCGTTAGTAAGCAAAATATAGGGGTGGCACGTGGTATGGGAATCTTTTTCGCCGAGGATATTTTCACACGGCAAAGCCAAGTGCATTTAGTGACTTCAATTCAATTTGGAGGGGTGGTAATGCTCAGTGGTGGTCATATCATAGTCATCATCCTTTGTCGCCCACCATTGTAAGCGTGAGATAATTGTTTGAATATTTGTTGTAATAATAACAACATCAACAACCAGTGTCAATTTAGTGCTTAAAGTGTGGGAATTGTTTTTCAGGTTATTTTTAGTTTGGTGGAAAAGTTAAGAGCTTCCTTTTGTTGTTTGTTTGAGTTTTTTTGTAGTGGAGGGAGGAATTGTCATGGGATTTGATAGGATTTTGGCGTGGGAATTTATTCTGATTGGAGTTTGAGGAGACAATTTTAGATTGATTAATGAGAATTAGCGAAAAATTGCTAATAATAACGTGGAAAATAAAAAATCCTTTAAAATTTTTAAATTGAAAAAGGAGAAATTTTTTGAAAAAATTAGAAAAGAAAACATTTTTTGAAAACTTTATATAAAATAAAAAAAAAAAAAATCCAGAAAAAGGTATTTTCCCGTGGAAAAACGAAAATTCCGATATTGAAAAAAAATTTTAATTGAAATTCCTCCACTGGGATAATTACTAAAAGCGATTTTTTTTTGTAATTAAAAAAAAACTATTTGAGAAACTGGAAATTTTTTTTTTTTAAATATTCCTTTTGAGAAAAATTTCCGATTTTGCAGAAAATGTTGGAAAATTTATTAAAAATGTTCAAAATAAAAAATGCATTTTTTTATTTTAAAATTAAGTGAGCATTTAAAAAAAATATTTCCCTTTGACCAAATTAAATTTAAACAAATAAAAATGTAAAAAAAATTAACCACTTGGCCACTTTTTTCAATTCCTTTTAAAATGTCACAGCTTGAATTAAAGTTTAATTTTTTTAAAGAAAATTTCCTTCTGAGGAAATTTTCGAACATTTCAGTAACAATTTTTACTTTCTTTAATTTCCGAAAAGATTTTCAATTAGATTTTTCTAAATATTTACAGTATTTCCACATATTGTTTGTAATCGGTCAAATTTCGGTTTTTTTTCAATAACAGGAAATTTTCTTGGGTTTCACATTGTTTAAAAATTGCACTGAGTTTTCATTTATTAAAATTTCAATTTAGTTTCAAATTTTTCTTGAGTTTTTTTCTATTTATTTTTCTAATTTTTTTATTTAAGTATTTTTTATTCCCTTTCGTAGACTGTTGATTTCATTAATCCTTTAATTATTTTTTTTTTCGTTTTTTCAAAAATATTTACCTTTGGCTTGTAAACTTTTCAAATGTTCCACTGTCAGCTGTAAAATTTCGGCCTTTTCCAATTTAGAGGAGCCCTGTTTCTCATAGGCTGAGGGCACCAAACGTTTGAGTTCACATAGCGAAGAGTTGATACGATCGCGGCGTTTTTTCTCAATAACACCACGACGCTTTTTGCGGCTCATCATTTGGCAACTGCTGCCATCGGCGGGGGAAATTCTAAAAAACAAAACAAAAGAAAATATTAATATTAGATTCCGTTTTCATAAGTCCTTCATCATAAAATTCCAATCAGAATATTTTTTTATTGTTTTTTTAAATCTCTTCTGAAAAAAAGAATACGTACTGTTCCTTGGACGACTCCTCGGAATATAAATCTTCACAATCACTTTCCGATATGGCCCGTTTAAGTGAGCCGGACTGTTGCTGTGGGGGTGGTACCCAGTGATTTTGCGGCGTAGTTGGCACTGCGGCGGCGCCATAACTCCAATGCAAGGCGGCATTATTATGATGCATATTGAGATTGTGATCCATTTTTAAGAATTTCCTTTTTTTTATCAAAAACTTTTTCAACTAAAAATTGTTTTTCTTTCAAACTTTCACTTCACTTTGTTGATGATATTTCAAAAATTTTGTTAAATTTATTTTTCAATATTTTTTTGTTTATAATTTTTGTTTAAAAAACAAATTCTTCTTCGTTGCGAATAGTTTGTTCTTCCGTTGTTTACCGGAGCTAGTTTAGAGCACGTGACTTATCGTGTGCAAGAACGACGTTCGACTGATTTTGAAACGCACGTCCAGCATGTGCCACAACTCAAACTCTAGCGAAGTTTCGGTCTGTGTTCCATGGCAATGCACCAATAAAATCAGAACTTATCGAAAACTACCCTCCTGAACTAAACAACCCCCCCAAATAAACAGCAAGGCAATGCAAGGTAATATGCTGCTAAGGGTTAAGATTCTATCATGATCTTTAGAGAGAGCGAGCGAGAGAGAGAGAGAAGGAACGCATGTGAGCAGGAAAGGGAAACAAGTTTAACACGGTGGTTTATTTAATGTCCTGGCGGCGGCAGCATTGCTCCAAACTATGTTTGTGGCCATAAACGAGCAATTATACAACTTATCATACTCATACAAGTGCATTTATGTTCTTCGTTTCAACTTCGGCTTTGTTCGTTGTCTACACACAAATACAACAATACTGTTTACATTGGACCTCAGCAAATTCTTTGTTTGGAAGCGTGCCTTGCTGCATCCCAATAGAGCGGCGCTTATCATTTGCATTGCATCATCGTGCGGCTTTTATCTCTCTTCAAGCTGAAATGACATTGTTGCACGTTTGCGCGTTTTGCCACTTGACAAAAATGTTTGTCAACAATTGTCGGCTTATAGGTGTTGTTCCTATGACCGCCAGAATTGCCATTGCCGCCGCCGCCGTCGTCGTCTGTTTTTATTGTAAATTTGTTAGATGCTTGTCGTCGCTGTTTTGTCCCAATGAATGAATGAATATGGAGCACGCGTTCCAAACTTATGCTGGTCGTGTGTGCCCCCAACAAGTGCATCACATGCCCGATGGGCGGTTTCATATTGAAATCTGTTGTAGGTCATTGGCCGTCATTGAAGGTGTCTTGGATAGGCCGACGCATGCCGCCATCACACCGCCTGTCTACCGCCTGTGGCGCCCAATGTTTATTTACCCTTTGATATGTAGGTCAGAATTGCCGATGGAACAGGTGATTTTCTTTTTGGCTCAAAAGTCAATCAGAAATTAGGTGTTGGGGAAGGCTATGGCTGTCGTTACGTCTGGATTGGAATTAATTGGCGTTAGTTAATTGTCTACGGATTGCAAGCCATTGCTGTTCATGGTTTGTAAAAAGATCAAAAATGAAGGAAAGGTGTATATTTCGTATAAATGTGACGAATGTCTACGATTTAGTTCAAAGCCTTTGTGGAGCATAGCTGATTGCTAACGGACGTGTCTATAGGTTGCAGATAGTAGTAAGAGCAAATATAATGAGTAGTTGCGAAATAAATAAGATCAAATGTAGTTATTTTCCCGACATCATTAGCGCCCAATGCAAGGAGACAAGGGACAAAAAAGCATATGGGCGAACGGTAAATTACTGTAGTCGATAGGGATCCTTCCATATCAGTACGAGTCTGAAGTTCGTTAGAAAATTTTCGAATTGGCATATCCTAACATGCCGTTAAGGGAAATATCGAAGAGAATGATTCTCAGTCTTTCTTTTTATCACACATTCGAAATGCCTTCCTCACTCTTATTCTAGCGGCATAAAAATAGAGTATACTCAAGTTCCTTTCTTAATCGCAGGAGTATTTCCGCTCGAATTCAAGCGAGCTTCTCTCTCAACTTGAAAAAAAGAAATCGAGTAGGGTAAGTGTGCCTAAGTTCGGCATGTCTCAGTAGTCGGCACTTTTTATTTTTAAGCCCAAATAAATGAAACTATTATAACTAAATGTATTTTGTTTACTTCAAATATATTGCCAGCTAACTTTGTGTACAATTTCGCTAAGAAAAGATGATTTATTCTAAAAAAATTAAATTTTTGTCTGTAAAGGTCCTCAACAATCCATATTCTTAAGAAAAGTACAATAAAGACGTCAAATCAGTGTAACTAAACAAAAATATTAAATTTTAATGAATTAATTTATTATTATTATTAATTATTATTACAAAAAAATTGGTATGCCGACTGTTGGAAAATGCCATACCGACAATTGACAAGGGGTGCCGACTACGGGCAAAAAAGCATTGTTTTAATAAAACTACAAATTTATGAAATTTAATAAAAAGTTATTAAAACTTTGTTTATTATTGCAAAAACTATAAAAAATTTCGAATCTGAATAAATTAACTTTGTAATAATTGAAAAGTTCCACTCAGAATGGTGAGCGATTAACAATGCGAAAATCCTAAAAGTGCCGACTACTGGTACACTTACCCTATACTCTATTTTATTTATATAACTCTAATAATAGCGAACAAGATTCACTCATTTTCGAGTGGCAGTAACATTTGCTTGAAATCGAGATGATACTAAGCAAGTTTAACACGTGAGTAAAAATGTGCAAATCTGAATACAGGGTGAGATAAAAAACTGCAACACAGTCAAACGCCATAATTTTTACATTTTTTTCAATTTTATTGAATGAAAGCAAAAAAGGTCGGAAATAGCATCAAATTTTAGAATAAGATTAGATTTATTCGAATTGGTCAACTTTGGCACGAATTTTGGCCTTCAAACGGACAATGAAATCGTCACACGCTGCACCAATGTTGCTCTGCGGTATTTTGGTCCATTGCCAGAAATAGTTCCATTTTAGTGCCAACGTGGCTTTCCAAAATACTTCAGACACAATAGTCCAACGAATTGGTATCCGGAGACTTTGGTGGCCATTGTGCGCTGAAAATGAAGCGAGGAACCTCATTTTGTACTGGTGGACAACGAATGTTTTCTTATCGGAGAAAACCGAATTCGGCAGTTCACCACTTTCGGCCAAGCGAAGCAACTCTTTAGCTCTTTTCCTTCTATTTTCTTTCTTTTGCAGTGTATGTTTTTGCTCTTTTTATACCCTCCACCATACTATGGAGGGTATATTAACTTTGTCATTCCGTTTGTAACTCCTCGAAATACTCATATCAGACCCAACAAAATATATATATTCTTGATCAGCGTAAAATTCTAAGTCGATTTAGCGATGTCCGTCTGTCTGTCTGTCTGTCTGTCCGTCTGTCTGTCTGTCTGTTGTAATCACGCTATCTTTCGAATGAATTGAGATAGGTGGCTAAAATTTTGCACACATGTTTATTTTTCCAGTAGGCAGGTTAAGTTCGTAAATGGCCCCCATATAACGGTACCTCCCTATATTCGGTATTTTGATGATTTTAGCGACATTATTCACGGGAATTGTTTCAAATTTGGTATTTGAAGTTCAAAATGGTTACTACACCCTAAGACGGAAAATTGTCTGTGCAGGTCCACGTCTTCATATAGCCCCCATATAACGGTACCTCCCTATATTCGGTATTTTGATGATTTTAGCAACATTATTCACCGGAATTGTTTAAAAATTGGTATTTGAAGTTCGTTATGGGAACTACAGTCTGTGACAGAAAATTGTCTGTGCGGGTCCAGGTCTTCGTATAGCCCCCATATAACGGTACCTCCCTATATTCGGTATTTTGATGATTTTAGCTACATTATTCACCGTTTATTTCAAGTTTCGAATTTGAATATGGTAATGGCTTATGACAAACAATGCCTATGTATGTCCACGTCGTATAGACCCCAAAATAACGGCTATATTCTGTATTTTTAAAATTTTAACAGAATTTTTTAAGGATTTTATTTTTTTGAAAATTTCCAAATTCGTTGCAAATGGTAGAGGGTATTAAAAGTTCGGCCCGGCCGAACTTACTGCTTTTTAACTTGTTGGAATTTCAATGGCTTTACCCCGAGCTCATTTATTAATATTTTCCGAATGGATTATTGCAATATGTTCAGCTTACGTGCTATTTTTCGGATTTATTCACATTTAAATGCTGGAGTGCTCTAACTTGTGGTTTTCTAGCCAAATATAAAGAAATCGCGATATCACGCTTGAATTCCATCACGAATAACTATTTTTTTTGGAAAATTCTCATCAAAATGCTTTTGTACGCTTGTAAACAATATAATGAGCTGTCACTGTAATCTATTTAACAGCTGTCGAACTAGTGGCTTAGAAATGACAGCAGTCTGAAGTTGGTTGCAGTTTTTCATCTCACCCTGTATATAATCTACGGGATGCTCCTGCTCATCGGGATAGGTGATATCGAAGGAGACTGGACGTAAGCAGCCTTCGAAGAACAACCAATAAGGTACCTAAACTGGAAAATGAAAAAGGAAAAGCTACGATTAACCTTCTGCCAAACTCATCTGGTGCTACATCAACTCAAACCGTTACATGGACGGAGGACGAGCGGGTACAAAAGCGTCTAAAGGCGACCAAATCCCTCTCTCATCCGGCGGCTGTAAAGAGGATGTGCTCAACTCAGGGGCAACAACTTGAGGCAAAGAAAAGGGTAACGAAGCAGGAGTTGAAGTGTCTATCTCAGATGGTAAAGGCAAAAAAGACCCTTTGTGACTGATATGGCAATATATAACTTCTATAAGAACACAGCACGAAATTTCTCATTCTACTTTTGTACCTTTCTATTTCTATTGAAGTTGTCTAAATCCACAACAAAGAGAATGATATCTTTCGTTTGTACTGGATCCGGATACTACTCTTAACTGCCGACCTTAAGAGGGAACGGCGTTTGACACATGATATTCCTTGTTCAGACCAGACCTTGGAAAACTTGTGCAATCGTAGCACAAGGAGTGTCTCATACATATTTTCCACCTTTCCATATCTTTGTGGCGTATAAATCGTGAAGTGAAATAAAAACATTAATAATAATAATAATAATAATAATAATAATAATAATAATAATAATAATAATAATAATAATAATAATAATAATAATAATAATAATAATAATAATAATAATAATAATAATAATAATAATAATAATAATAATAATAATAATAATAATAATATACTAATAATATAATAATAATAATAATAATAATAATAATAATAATAATAATAATAATAATAATAATAATAATAATAATAATAATAATAATAATAATAATAATAATAATAATAATAATAATAATAATAATAATAATAATAATAATAATAATAATAATAATAATAATAATAATAATAATAATAATAAT